ACCAAATGTGGCAACCCAGCATTTCTTATTACTTTATGGCAACCATAAAACTGCTTTGCGAGGAAGCCATCTTACCGCGCCTGTGCATTTCGTAACAATATGATTTATTGGAAGGTAAAATTTCCATATAAAATTTAAAAGACAAGATATTTCTAACGTTAATTTATTATTATCAAAATGTGAAAATTTCGTAAATGAAAATTTTAATTAAAATTTATAACGCTATCTAAATTTTCATCACTATCACTAGAATCACAATATTAGAATACCTTCTTTCCTTCCCTGGTGGAATAATGTCGCTGTCATCAGCATCGCTTCAATATTCATCCACATTAAATTCATCATCACTGCTATCTTGAAAAGGTACTGTTCTGTTATCAGGACCGGGTTCAAAAATGTATGTGTTCATGTTTGCATGTATATATATATAAATATAAATATATGTGTGTATACATATACACATATATGCTCACACAATGCAAACACACGTTCATATACATTTCTGAATCCGGTCTCGGATAAGAGAACAGTACCCTTGAAAGAATGCTTCTTCTATCACATTTTTCGCGATGGTGGAGAGTATTTTTTTATTTTTTCAGCCAAACAGATGATTAAATACTGAAATCAAAGAAACATTGAATCACATGCAACTAAAATTTAACTGTCAATTACAATGGCGTAATCTTCAGACAAGTATATTATCGGTGTGCCTAATAGGCACACTTTGAATACAACGCCAAACTTTGGCAGTGCCTGTGAGGAATACTTTGATAGCTTAGAGCAGATTCTTAACCTTTTGACTAACGCTAACATCCCAAAATTGAAAAACTAGAACCACCACTACATTTTACAATGGCTACTTTTCAATTTTTCAGCAGAAATATTAAAAATAAAGCATCTAAAGTTAAAAGTAAATTGGACCGGGTTTCAATTTAAAATTAAATTGCAGGGCAATTTCTCAACAATATTAATAATTGCGTCTTTGTATAAGATGTTTAACACAATATCTAAACAAGTCAAATTGAAAAAAGGATCATAGTAGTACAAACTCAGAAACTCAAAATGCAAAAGGGAAAAAATATACAAGATAATAAAAATATAAAAATTAATCTCCTTTTACTGAAACTTTCAGAAATCATCAGGGGAGAATGAATTAAAGCTTCATAAAAGTTGATTAATATGATTCGTAAACGTGTTTCATTCTCCTGGTTCATTTGAGGTCAAAAACCGTAAAAAGAAAATTTTCATCGCATTAAAATGTATATAAAACCTAAAATTGTGAATCTCAAATGTACCAGGATATTCCCTACATGCCTTCGAAACACTTGGAAAAAAAGAATAAAATATAATATCAAACTGACTACACAAAAAACCCATGAAACTTTACATTATGAAAAAAGGCCATTCGAAAAAAAAAATTGCACTAAAAACATTATATGCAAATCCGAAATTCAAAATCAAATATGAATATAGAGCACAATACAGTTATACTTTAAACCAAATAGTTATTTAAACAATACTCTAAAAATGAGCGGTCCCCAATTATGCTTGACTAAACCTTTAATTTCAAGAAAATGAAACTTTTCGTAGAGATTGTTTTGAATATTAAAATAAAATCTTCGGCAAATAACTGAAAACCTATTACAACCAAATTGTAAAAATGCACTTACTCAAATCATATGACGATCTTCAAACGAAAATTTACCTAATTCTTCAGGTGACCAAAGTGTGTTTTTTGCAGAATTCATAGTTGCTCTGGAGAAGCTGAAACTAGTAGTTCTTGGAAAAAGTATGCTATAAGGTTCAAAGTGCCCAATAGCTGAACTAAGTATTTAATCATGTGTTCAAAAAATCCTATCCTGTTAGACTTTGTGTGCAGGGTGTCAAACGTTGGGTGCGGTCGTAAAAATTATTACCACAGGGGAGGGTGATCGTCGACTCCAAAATGGCGGCGTTAAGAAACTTCTAAAAGATACTGCTTTCTGTAAAATCTTAAAACGTGAAAGTAGTACTGGCTCAAAGTTGACGAAAAGGAAAAATATATGTTATAAAAGCTAAAATGTCTTCACGTAATAGGGGTAGAAAACGTCTTTCAAACTAAAAAGCCCATTTTTTAGTAAAAGAAAGAATATTTGCCAGTTATAAATTAAAAAAATATTAGAAAGAAAGTATACATAGTACTTGAAAGGGAAAAGAAACAAGAAAAGAAAAGGAAAAGAAACTTCTGAAAGGGAAAGAAAACTTAAACCTACAGGTATAAAAATTTGTTTTTAATTTTTGCCTCTTATGGCCTTTACGCTTTTGCCTTTACTATTTTTGAACTCCGATAATTTCCTCTTATAATATTCTTCAGATTTATCCTTTAAATTGGCATGCTTAAATTAAAGATGCCTTTTAAGAAACGATGATTTCATAGTTTGAATGGGTAATAGTTAACCGCAAAAAAACACACCGAGGTTGAGTGTCCATTTCATCTCCATTCCAAGTAAACCCAAATGATGAATAACAATTTTTCTTTTCTTTCGAAGCTTCGTAGTGCTAGTAGATTGTCCTGCCTCTATTACCTGGTAATCACCACTTTTTAGCTAAGTCAGTTCTAGCCATTTTTCAAGTTTGAAAATCTAGGTTTGTTTTATTATATTTTCACAAATATTTAAATAAACGGTATATTACAAGTTCTTCAAAAACAAGCATATTCTCAAATCGCGCTGCTGTTAAAGACAGGAAATCAATGTAAAAAAAAATTTGTAATTGAAAACATTTTACAATGGCTACTTTTCAATTTTTCAGCAGAAATATTAAAAATAAAGCATCTAAAGTTAAAAGTAAATTGGACGGGTTTCAATTTAAAATTAAATTGCAGGGCAAATTTTGTAAATGAAAAAAAAATTTGTAATTGAAAACATTTTACATTTACATATGAGCCCGGAAATGGCGGCGGAATGAAGCGTAAACATGCGTAACATGAAAATAAATTGATCAAGTCTAAAAGAATTAATGAGATATTATCTTTTTATAGAAACTTATTTTTATTTCCTATTAAATACACATCCATTTCTATTACTCCTTTTAAAAACATCATTTATGATTTATGACAAATTTTGCTATGTCTATCACTAAAAGAATATTTGCGAAAATAAAAACTTAATTTTTTAACGGATTATTAACAAAATGTAAACAGGATGTTGGGGTATTTAATTTTTGAATTCAATAGTTAAAAATACTTTTTTCTTTGCGTACTACCACCGGTTGAGAATCGCTAGCTTAGAGGAAACCGTTAATTTCCCCCCTATTTTTTCTTTTCCTTTTCTTGCACTTATTATGCATGGGACACTGATTTATGCATGGTACAGAACTAATTAAAACTGAATGCACTGATTTATGCATGGTACAGAATTAGTTAAAACTGAATGCACTGATTTATGCATGGTACAGAACTAGTTAAAACCAGTTTTGCCTTCTAATAAAAGTATACATATTACGCAGACATTAACATTTTTTAAAAAACCGAATCACATAAATAAATGACAAAGATGTAGGCTTTGATACAACTCGCCTATGGTGGAGCATAACAGTTGCGAGCTACTGGATGAAAGGAAAAAAAAGGAAAAGGTAAATGGAAAAAGTTTGAGCCATATGAATATATTTGATTAAGTCCTTCCATGCGTCAAGAAATCAAAGTACACGAAGGCAAGAATGCATGAAAACACACGTACACAAAAACCTTTTACGTTTCGGAAACTGTTTATAATATAATTTTTCCACTTACTTATAGTTAATGGAATACCACGTTTTCCTTAAAACATCCTCTGAAGCAGTAGAAACATTGATTTTTTTAATACTATACTTCCAGTATAGTGCTAAAAAAACCAAATTTTTCAGTATAGTACTAAAAAAAATCAAATTCTTGCTTAAATTTTCAATAACCAAAAATTACAGCATATGAAGTAGTTTTTCCCTTGGTTTTCTGTGAGGATCTTCAAGGCAGTCGCTAGCCGATTATCGCATACGAGAATCGGCTAGAACATTAAATAGGTCCTTTTTATGCCTCCCCCTCATACCTGTGCCTAGTCCTAAAGGTACTGGCACTTTTATGCAGTTCACATGCTTTTCGAAAAGAAAACTTTTATAAAGGTGTATAAGTATGAAAGTGCCCGCATCTTTAAACAGAATCATTTTCCAAAGTTTAACGGAAACTTAATAAAAGTTTGAACGCCTTTAAGCAGATGAAACTGCTACGCAACTATAATTTATATGTCACTTACTATCCTAATAAGAGTAGCAAACTAAAACCCTAACTGCACAACGTATCCCGGCGCGAAGTTGCCTCCTAATGAAGGTTGCTATATACAAGCAAGGAACTTATCTTCACAAGGGTATTCGCGCTTTCGTACCGCAGCACTGTTATAAAGCAGTCCGCTGTGTTCAATGAACATAGGATACCCTCTTGGCAAATGTTGAATGAAAGCTAATCTAGACGCATAGCTGACTTCTCGGCCTCGTTGTTTGTCGTGGACTTGTGTTTGTGAGGCGTCACTTGTAGAGACGTATTGACCTGCTATCAGAGATTATTAATTTTGGGATGAATGAAAAGAGATACCCCTATGCCTCTAGACCACATTTTCAAAATATCCCAAGAAGTTTCCAAAAGTATTTAATGGCAAAGACTACTAACATATACCTCACCTTGATTTATTTACGGCAGTTTATCACCCTATTCTGAATGGTGGGTTAGTTAAAAATGACTGACAGTTCGGATTGACAATACGGAAATCTGAAAATAAGTCAGTTGCCTGCTTGCAGCTTAGAGAATAATCCCCACTAGAATTGCTAAGAAGAACTGAAAGCAAAGTTACCGCTGGCGCTCAGGGCCTATTTATTGTTGTCAGACGCGCATCCTAACTTACCGTTGATTACACATTAGCATTTCATGCACCAATCATGAGACTGAAGATAACAGTTTGAGTTTAAATATAGCAAATATGTAAAAAATAATTTACCGGTATATCCTGAACTTCCAAAACAACTTCAGGAATATGTTCTTCTGTCAACTGAGATACGACTTGTTTTTGGATCTTTTTGACTAATTCTGGAGAAAATTTGTATCCATTCTTGAGCTTCACGAAGAGGACTAATCTTTGGTCTCCTACATCGTTGTCTTGACCGATGCAAATGTAATCTTGAAGTTCATCCATCGTGTGGACTGCAGAAAAATGTTCCAATTATAAATCAATAAAAAAATATTGTAAAATATGTTTCGGTACATTTATTAAATTTTTAGTTAGTTGAGCCAAAACATTTAGATCACCCATAAATGTGAGAATGTATTCGCTGGAACGTCAGAGATGGAATATTAGTTTGTTTATTAACTGTTTAACAGCTGCCAGGAACACTAAGTCATTACTTTTGTGCACTACGTACATGTAGAATGGAGACCGCGGTTATTTTAATCGACTCTTGTGGAAGCTAAGTTCTTATGACTCGAAGATTAGGTAGGAGTGTTTCAGTAATGGTAACTTTTCATTCACGAGCTGCCGTTGTTAGTTCCTATGAAATCAAAGAAGAATGTAACAGGGAACAGAAGATAAAATGCCAAGTCTGATCAACAGAAGCAGATCTCAGAAACTGTTCTGCTTCATAAAGACAAATAGGTAACTGCTGGTGGCGCAACTGACAGCTGAACACAGTTCATGACTATTTGAGCACACACATCCTCTGAATATTAAATATAGGTCACTACTGCAGCTTCCCTTCTTATGTGGCTCTTAACTCCGCATCGTCGAGCTTAACACGTTTGATGCCAACAACGATTTATCTCGTAGTTCACACATTCGCTGCGCTGATCACAGTTTTGACCGGATCCTGCAAAAATGGAAAGGTTTGTTTGATGGAATTGATTAAGATTTTTTATATTAGGGTCAGCTACTTTTCATGCGAACAGTTGATTGACACATTAACGCGGTACATTAACAACCTGGTCGTGGAGGCATACTTTGAGGGATATTTTCATAAGCGTTCTTAGGACCGGTGATTTGTAACGAGCAAGAGAAATCTATATCAAGTCTTCTTTCTGTCTGTGTACCTTGTATATGATTTTCTTCTTTGCTTTATTATTGAATTACTTTACATGTTTAACAAAAGACAAGCAAGTCCCATTGACAAGGTCAGCAAAATTGTCAGTGAAGTACGATTATTCCGTATACCTTTAGGATTGTGGCTGCATATAGTGAACCGATCAACTATTTCAGCAATTTCACAGGGGACTCAAAATCGTCTCCTCGAAGTGATTTTCAATGAATGGGGTGGGAGTTCAAAAATATAGATAGATATATAGACAGGACTGGTGATAGTTTTAGAACACACCATTTACAGCCTTTCATGTTTTCTCTCGTGTATCTTTTCCTATCGGAAATTCACTTTTTCCAGCATGACAAGACTCCTTGTTAGAAAGTCAAAATTATATTATTGTTTGAAGAATATAAATGTGGAACAACAAAGTATTAAAAGGGTGGTCAGAATGTTTTAGCTGATTAGTGTACCTTCTGTGATGTTCTACATTATTTAACCTTGACAGATTCTCGCGAGAAATATGTTTATATGAGGTATGTTGAATAGTTTATGTTTGCACTCACTTGCAAAATAGATGTCAGAGCTTCCAAATCTTTCTCCATTTGGGTTAAGAACGTCGTCACTAAAAGAAAGATTGAAAGAGTACTTTAAAATAAACTTTTCACGAGTATGCTATACTTCAGTAATGAAAACTTTTTAGAATTTAATATATTTTTAAAGAAAGAAAAAAAGGTCGGGTTCTAAAACAGCATTAAGTTCATTTGAAACTCAGTAAGTTAAATGGAAACAACAGCATAATAAATACATATTTAAATATTTAAAATAGTTATTTTCTAATCCAAATTTACGAAAGTGTTTGAAAGAAATGTTAAAAATAATTCTTAACACTTTAGATTTAAAATCATTTCTGGCTTTTCATGAGGAAATTTTAATTTACGGATACCATATGCAGAAATATTGCAAATAGTTTTTATTAATTTAATTTACAAACCTTCTGCCGATGATTACAATTCCCTTTGTCCTGGGATCGATCCAGCATTCGTCGTTTTGGCACCATACACCTGAAAGGGTTATTTAAAAAAATCAAACACTTATGAATGCATGTGTATTTTTTCCTTATTTATGATTATTTCACGAACTATAAGAAAACATATTTTAGAACTCCTTATGAAGTATCTGATGTAATCACAATTTTTAAAAGTGTTTATTCCTTACTAGCGCCAGGAAGAGGGATTTCATATATTCAAGAACGATAAGTAAAACGCTGTACCTTAATTTGATAACGAAAAGAAGAATAAATAATTCTTAAAGAATAAATAATTTTCAATGTATTTTTTGTAAATTGATTGATTTCAGAATAAAGAGAAAGTGAGCATTCAATGGGAATATCATTTTCTAAAACTCTGCCTATAAACCCGCCAAGGTTGGTGAAAATGTAATCTTGTTTGCTGGCTATGTTGCTTTTGTCATTTTCAGTAAATTTTAATTCAGAATGTAGCTGCTAATTCGGTTTCAGTAAGTATTTTACACTCAAATGATCCCGCGATTAACCGTTAAATTCCACTTTACACATTTGATGAATCAATGTAAAGTAAAACGCTAAAATAATATTAGTTACATATTAATCTGCTTAAATCTGCTAGTGTAACCTCTTATAATGAGCACATAAAGTTGACGTAATGGTCATTCATTTAAGAGGTTAACCATCTCCAGTTGATTGTGTTGGTCATTCTTTTATTATAATCACCTCCAGGTCAGGGCGGTTAGTATTTTCTGAAGTATAAACATTGGTACCTGACATACAAGGTGACCACTGCACAGAAGACCAACTTGCCTGCAAATATGGGTAGTCTTCTTTCAGTCAACAGTATTGTATATCAAATCGGCGATGGTTATCATGAATTAGAACAGTGATGTGCTATATTATATTAATGCAAATCTCTTTAATAGTTAATTTTAGAACACTTTACGCTGTTAAATAAATAAAACAAAGGATTAAATATCTAATTAAACTGGTATTTATTTAACATTCGCGTGTTAGATTTCGCTTCATAACTCATTTAGCAGTTAGAGATCGAGAGTTTCAAAGTGAATAGCATGCAAGTACATTAAAGCAAAACTTAATACAGTTATTGATAAAAAAAAGCCATAAACCGTTTAATAAACATTTGCAACCTCAAAAGGGATAATCAAATTAACAATGAAATAATCTTGCGTTTAGCGTATATTTAGTCAAAACCTTAATCAATTTCGAAGGTAAACAGGTACAGCTCCCTCTTTATCAGGAGCAAAGAATTGAGCAAGACTGGGAAGTAGTAGGAAAACGGTCTTAAAAAGGAATTAAAAAGGATTTCAAGAGATAATCACTGCTGTATCAAATGATGGATGTCTAGGTATATTTCAAGCCAGGTAAATATCTAATTATGTTGCATACGATTCTAGTTTTCATTTGGTCCGAGATCTTCAATACAGATCCCACCTATTTAATTTCACTTATAAAATTCAACAAGTAGAACTATACCTGGATACTTTGTCAGATACAGTTCTTCGAGTTTTCTTCCTTTGGTGTCATTCCATACAGCTACAGGAAAAGCAGGATTTGGAGTGCAGATGACGAGTTCACCCTTCTGCCCTAAAACTGAATTTCCTGTAAAAATAATTCATAGGCCTTTAGAATACATACTAGAAATTTCATCATGCTTTATCTTCTTATATAACCAATTACAAATTTTAAACAATGGTAAGTACAGCAACATTTTGAAGGAATACATCTATTTTTTTATTGGCCAATAATATAATATTCCCCCATATATTTCAGAATTATCAATTCGTGAGCATAAGAATTTGGATACTGTTGACCTTCTAAATACTGAGAAAAATTTGAGTCTAATGTTAAAGAAATTGTCACAAATTCAACATTTCAATAGAAATGAACAGGTATTTTTATTTTTTTGGAATTTTAAAGTTATTGTTAGAAGGCAACTAAAGACGGAATTCCAATATTCTTCATTTAATCTTTGTATAAAAACAAGCTAAAATGTTAAATAAACAAAGAATTATCAACAGGATTTGACGTAATGTACATGTATAGCGTAATTAATCAAGTTGCACGAACTCCTGTTCATAATTATTACTTTCTTTAGTATTTAATTAGTTCATTGAAAACAAGTTTTAACAACCAATTAAAACCATTTAATAACCTTCGTATAAATATAATATTTTCGGCTGTTTATATGCAGAAAATTGAGCTTTTTCCCAAAAATGCTGATTTGCCTTCCAGGCGGTTGTTGGTATTACGTTTCCATTGCATAACTTCCATCATATGCAGTTCCATTCCACGAGAGTTGGAACACTCGGGAATTTTTAACACTAAATACAGTTATTAATAAAAAAATACATGAGTTGAAGTAATAAAACTACTTATGCTTCATTTCTTGGTAAATTTAGTAGGCTCATGAGGCAAAATGGAATAAAAACAAAAGGAGAAGGGAAAACATTGCCCCGGGAGCATTCCGCGGGACAGAAGTTACTAAAGAATGATACAATGCAGATATGAACTTACTTTAATCGATCTGAAGTTATTGCTTAAAAAGTCATTCGCCATTATTAACTATGTGGAACGGAAAAAATTTTGAAACCAATTTATAAGATAACTCTGCGATACTTTACTAATGGGTTATTTATTGTTTATAAGTTTTTGCCTCTCATGCTGTTTTCATTTTCTACTTACAATAAGTAACTTTATTCACATTTTTTGACATACCGAGAAATATTGGCTATGTATCGTATAACAAGTTTCGAATCAATTTTCTTGAAAACGTTTTAACTTTTATGCATAAAAACGAATTTTCTCACAACATGATATAATACAAGAAAAACCGCTACATGATAGTCTGTCTAATCCCTCGTGACAGAAAGAGAGCACTTAGTGGCAGAACGTCTACAACTGCTTGTTGCCGTAGTAATGAACCCTAATTTCTTTTTTGTAAGGGTCACCTGGTGGGGAAAAGAAAAATTACACTCGAATGTGCTCTTTTGATGCAGATGCACTAATGACGAACATGCAATTATACTTTTGATTTAAATAAAACTCATTTATAACTTTTTTGTCTTTCCAGAGACCAACATTCGCTAAAAATAAAATAAAATTTCCATCTGATTTTCCCCTACCTGAAATATATTATGCTAGTGACCGCCTTCAGTAAGATATACCAGTGAGAGTACTTCTCATAATAGACAGTAATTACTATAAGTAAAATATATTGAAAATACAGATAAATTATTACCTTGTTCATCAAAACATTTCAAGTCCACTCCCAGAGCTGGTGCTTGAATTTCGGCACTGTAAACAGGGGTATTTAAATCAAATCCCGAAAACACACCAATTACTTCTGTAGCACCTACAAGGAAATTAACATGGAGATGTAATTCTAAAATCTAAAATTTCCAAAATCTAAAATTTCTAAATGGAAATTTTAGTAAAAATGAATTAAGTTTTTGAGGAATTCTACAGCATTTTTTTAAAAACATGAAAAGGACATTATTTGCGAACTCATAAATTTTACAAATTTTTTTCAAATTTTACAGATTTCCGAAGAAGATTTCATTGAGTGTTTCTACAACTGCTAGAAGATCAGAAAACTGAGGGTTAATATTTTTCATTAAAAGTATGCAAAATTGTATGATCTTTATGATCAAAACTCTGGTATATGAATATTAAAATTAATTTTTTCCCATGTAAAAATTATTTTTATGAATTTATGTACGCATGCATTGTATGTATATATACATATACACACATATGCAAGTAAGATGTAACAAAATACGATAGTTGCTTTAAAAATAATTGGCGACCATAAAATTAACATTCTAGATTTGGTACTCTCCCCCTAAATTCATCTGTTCTCCCAAATTCGACATCTTTCTACGTTATGTAACGCTACTGGAAAAGGGCAACTAAAACTAATATTAAACAATCATAGCTTGTCTCCCGAATCGCACCCATTTCGGTATACCTCTGGCTAGCTAATTACGTCATTATTATGCTAGCTTCTATATTGCTAATATCTTCCCTCTTCGCTTCTTTAAAATGCCTACGTCATTCTTTTTAAAAACAATGTGCATAAGAAATTATCGTAATTTGTATAATTAAAGAGTATGTTGTCTAAGAGGAATTATTTTAGTGTGCCTGGAAATAAAAGATAATTGGCTGAACTTAGTTTACTATCAACTTCCTTCTCTCAACCCTACCACTCAGCCATCGCGAGTGTGCTTCGAAATTATGACATGTATGTATATGATCGTATTATAAAATGTATTCGTGTTTATATGTGTTAATTTTTAAAATAATTTTCATTACTGAAAAAACGAAAAATTTTACAATTATTTGTTATATGATCTCAAAATATTGAGAAATTATTTTAAATCGTGGCACACTTTTCTCATTTCTGTGCAAAGTTATTTAAATAAAAAATCATTATGGAATCAACAGCGTTATCACTTAAATCAACAACGTTACGAAAACAGTGTGTGTGCGAGACTAATGATGTAAAACAAAGACACTAATCGAAAACATTTTGTGTAACAAAGTTTTAGAAAAGTTTTGTTATCCAAATCGCATGTTTTCAGTCATCATGATCACGATTTCATTTATAATTATGTTCGTATACTTAAGGGGAGGTAAACCGAAATGAAGAAAATAGCATATTTGACTAGTTACAGATAAGATTTGTTTAAACTCTTCTGTAGAAGGTAACTTTTAAGTACTAATGGCCTGAAGGATAATGACATGAAAAGTTGGCTAAAATTCGAAAATCTATTTGACTCATTTATCTTATTGAAACAGTAGTTACAAATACTTTCCTTTACGTATAATAAATGTGTAATATACCTCACGGCTTCCAAACTGACAATCACTACATGTACAAGCAATATGAAATCTAAATATAAAGCGGTATCACATAAGCCTCCCAACAAATATTTTTTAAGTGCTCCGTTGTTAGCCGCCGCTACGCCAAAGGAATGATGTTCCGTGGAGAACGTTTTCAGAGAAACTGGTTCGGTATCCAAGTTACACATGGTGAAACTACAAAAACAGCCAGTCTTTCCGACGGGACTCGAACCTCGGATCGAACTACCAGTGTGCAGTGGCTTTTATTGCTCGGCAACTGGTAGGTTTTTCAGCAAATACTAACAGTAAAAATAAATCAGTGACAACCAGCCTTCTACTGTATTATAGTTTACTGTTCTATAATCTAAGCAACGTCACAAGGAGTAAGAACTATATTTCCTGTTAATTAACTCCATTAGCAAATAATATTGGGTGTCTCCAAAATAATTTTGAAGAATAATTTGCTACACTTCACATGCAGTTTTACCATTTGGTCAGCTTTATTAATATCGTCTAATCACAAATATTTTGCAAGTGCTCCACCGTTAGCAGCTACGCCAAGGGGAGCATGTCCCGTGGAGGACGTTTTGAGAGAAACTGGTTCGGTATCCACGTTACACAGGGAGCTTTTATTGTTCGGCCTCTGGTAGACTTTTCAGCAAATACTAACAGTAAAAATAAATCAGTAGTAAACAGCATTCTACAGTATTATAGTCTACTGTTCTATAATCTAAGCAATTTCACAAGGAGTAAGAACAAGGAGTCAACAAGGAGTAAGAACTTACTCGTATATTTCCTGTTAATTAGCTCCATTACCAAATAATACTGGATGTTTTCAAAATAATTTTGAAGACTAATTTGCTACACTTTACATGGAGTTTTACCATTTGTCAGCTTTATTAATATCTTCTAAGCCTCTGTTCTATTTTCCTATTTAGTCCAGCGTACTAGAAAGGAACCTTGGCCTGAGTAAGTTGCAAATGAACTACGCGAAGTTAAGATGGTTAGTAATTGAAGAGACAGCATTATCTCACAACGCAATGATTTACGTAATTTATTGTTCAACTTCCAATAAGTTTCGTAAGTAAATCATATATATTCTAGTCAAAGATATTCACTCGACTATTTTCTGCCAATGATCAATGTATTTCCGCAGCTATTTGTTTACCAGTTAGTAAACTAAATTTCCGGGAAATGAGCAAGCAGTTGGTAGTGATCTCACAAACCCACCCTGATAACCTTAAAATTCGTTGAATGAACTAGTCCTTGAAAATCTGTCCCCCCTTCAATTAATATTTTGTATTCTTGCGCTATAAATTAGAAATAACTGTGCACCTCCTTATTCGCAGGCGGGTATTTACTTTGAGAAACAAGTTGCCATTTCCGTGGAAACGTTTATTCTGTGGGACGAATTTTTATCCAGGGTCAAGCCTTCTGTTTTTCCTTGAGAATGCCATTCATTGCCAATATATGCTGGTAGGCTCTCGTAGGGTATCCCATTTGAGCAAAATCCAGTTATTTTGACCTTGTTCCTAACCTTGGAAGTAATTGCGTTTTTATTTCACTTTTTTCACGTACAACAGCTTAGAGATACATTATTTGGGTTGACTTTATCATGAATTCACGGCACTCTAAATGGCCACACCCTTCGTATCACCAACGAGATCTGAAGATTCTATTTAATTTACTCAAATATGAAATTTTTCAGTTTCTGAAATGTCAGAGTGATTCTAGGAGTATGGATTTAAACATCGTGGAAGGCCATTAAATTTTTACTTTCTGCAGTTACAAATGTCAAATCAAGAATTCCTCATTTGTGTTGCTGTATCCTGTGTGCTTTACATTCTGTTAATTTGATTTGCATGTTGACGTAATTGTATCGTGATTATTGTAGGTGTATGTTGGCCTTGCAGATGGTCATGAATTAAAACAAATTAGGGAAAGCATGATATATTAAAATTAATTATATTCTTATATTTATGATACTTATTATATTTATATGCTTATGCATACTATATATAGAGAGCGCTCTCCAAAAAAGGCCAAGTGATTTTAATTAAAGGCACTAAAATGCATAATAATTATATTACACATATAACCATGTAACTTTGGTTAGTTATATAAGAACAGAAAAACCAGAAAGTATGTCTCTGAGGTTTCCTGCTCAACATTCTTGGTCATATAAAATGTTCATGGCGTTGCTGCAATGATTAAATGAAAACTTCAAAGAATTAATTTAATTTGTAGGATAGCGTTTTTTATAAGTCCATAAAATTCTTTAAATATATTAACGACCGCTAAATATTGGAAGTTCGACCTGTGTTGGTCCCCAGGCGAATGGGCTGATTGCAGGGTTTGCTTTCGTAAATTTCTTCATGTTTAACATGAATACGAGCCAATTCTTCTTTGAAAGCTCTCCATGAAGGGATACTTCCCCTTAGTCAGTCAGTATTCGTATCGTATTTAAATAAACTTCAATACCCTAATACAATTTTCGTACAAGCGTCTATAAATGTAACTAAATCCTATTTTGTCTAACTTAAACTTTTTTAGGGGTATTTTAGTTTGCAGTTTTCGGCTCAGCGAAGGAGCTGTTATTAATAAAAACAAAATGACAGTTTCGAAACATAGGTGTTATGTGTTACGTTTGCTTCATTTTATTGTTGCAAATAGCGTAAATTTCTTTTGTTTTTCTTCCTTTAGTTTTGAACTTTATGTGTGGCAACAAGATAATTGATTGATAGAATTGTGTTTGTGACAGCCATGTAGAATGGCTCGCTTATTTTGTATCAATTATTTCGCATCGCTGACATTTTACTTATAATTAGTGTAATGAAATAAAAGTAAAGGAATACAGTCCATTTGTTGATTGATTATTGTTTGTGAAACATATTAAGGTTAAGAACATAAATTGTTGGTCAAAAGTCTAGCCGGAGAGCTAGTGAAGATAGTGACTGTTCTAAGCGTATTCTAACAACGCAAATATGCATATGGTTGGTGAAAAATTACTCCACTTTGTGAGGTAAGTGGATTTTGAACAAAAATTCGTTTAATTTGTTATTAAATTTTAAGAACAATGTTGTAATACAGCATAGAATTCGATTTCATTTTAATAATAGTGTTAAGATATTTAAGAACAATTTCTGTTTTTGAATTGATCAATTATGAGTGAACTTATAACTTTTAAAACAAAAAGAGCTGTCTTACGCAGGAGTGTTACTAATTATGCAAAGAAAATTGAAACCATTTTAACTGTAGATGAAATTAATTTAATAGAACTAGAGGAATGTGTCGAATTATTAAAAAAAAAGGAATTTTGTTAAGGAAGCTTGATTCTGAAATCGAAGGTTTAATTACAGATACTAAAGAATTAGAAAACGAAATAGATAATGTTCAGGAGTACACAGATAAAATTTATTTGTGAAAATTTAAAGGCGAAAAAATATTAAAAAATCAAAATAGTAAAAATAATTCTAATAGTGTAATTTCAGAACAGGTTTTTGACAATAT